GCAACATATGGAAAGTTTTACATGGACTGATGCGAGTACAAGATTATTTATTGAACTATATAAAGAAAAAAAAGATCTATTGACAAACAGGAAAATTAAAACCAAAAAAATTCTATGGGAAATAATAAGCGAAAGTATGAAGTTAGAAGGATACATTGTAACACCAACTCAGTTAGAAAATAAACTTAAGTTACTGGAAAGGTCATACAAAAATATGGTGACACATAATAAACAAACAGGCAGAGGACGCATAACATGTGCGTATCAAACGTAAGTATAGTTTAATGTTTGCTAGATTATACAATAAAATTTACTTATATTTTTGTTATAGAGAATTAACAGAGCTGTTAGGGCAGAAACATAATATAGAACCTGTNGCAGTGTGTGGCAAGAACGGATTAATACTAAGAAAAGAGCAACCAAGTGCATCACAAATAGAAGAAATAGACAAAGAGTAAGTTTGATACAAGATATCTGAATTAAATATCAATTTTCTACATAACTTCTTTACGTTGTATTCATATACATANTTATTTTAGGTTAATGTCAGCTGAAAACAGATGTACACAAAATGAGAACATTAAGTTTAACATTACTTCAGCACTTCAAGAAAACCAAGAAGAACAGAACACTATAAATATGGAGTTGACACAAAACACTAGTCCTAATCAGAAATCAAGTAAGTATAATAACATAGACTGATGCGAGTACTCTCTATTGAGTACTATTTATTGAATCATACTTACGTTTAATATAGATATGTCATGTGTTCTTTGCCTGTTTTTTTATTGTCACTATATTTTTGTATGACCTTTTTAGTGACTTGAGCTTTTTTTCTAACTGAAGTGTTACAATATTCTTTTCACTTCATACTTTTCCTCATTATTTTATAGCATGTATCTTATTGTAATGTATATGAATTATAATGTACAGGGTCTTTCAGATTAAACGCTCACGCAACAAACATAAAAAACTCCTACAAAAATGAACCGATTTTTATTTGTTATACACGAAAAGAAAGTTTATTTTAGGATATTTTCGATGTGACCACCGTCATTTTCAACAACTCGTTTTAATCTATGAACAAAGTTTTTCATACATAACTCTAACATTCCCACTTCGATGCTATTAAAGATCTGCGTAATTTCCTCTTTAAGTTCTTCCAAAGATGCAACGTGGTCGTTTCATACTCGTGTGGATTTTCAGTACTCCAAATACGGCAGTTTTGTTTGTTGACATACCCGTTTAGCCAGAAATGTGCTTCGTCGCTGAACCATATGTATGGAAGATTACCGCGCTTCTGACTGAGATAC